TCTTTCCCTGGCAGTTTCCCCTCTCTAGGAGCAGGGCACCTCAGTGCTCTGTGACATCTTCTCAAAGAGTTTCCCCAGGATTGAGGTAAGACTGACGGGCCTATAGTTGCCCGGGTCCTCCCTCCTACCTTTTTTAAAGATGGGGACCACATTGGATATCTTCCAGTCATCTGGCACCTGGCCCGAGCACCACGAGCGCTCGTAAAGCCATGCCAAGGTCCCTGCAATATACGGTACTTCCTCACATACACCTCCCCCTTATAAGGGGATGTGATGTGAGAGTGACATGCAGGAATCACTTACAGGAGTGGTCAGTGAACTAATATTACTCTAAGAAAATAAACTGGGTTATTTAGTTGCAGAAAATGAATACTGTACATTACCATTCCTCCAACTTTCATTTGATGTAGCTGTAGAGCTTGATATTGGTCATTCTAAATTCAATAAAACAACCAATGATTCAATAACATCTTTAATATGTAATACATTATTACACAGAACATTTGAAAGTTTACATCTGGGGAGGTGGTGCAAACTTCCAGCCCTCATTCTTGCTCACTTTTATAAGAGCAGCCAGAATCCCTAGCCCAGCACATGCAGAGGTACCAATAGTAAAGCTGTGAGCTGGGAGGAGAAAAAAAAGAAAGTAATCTGTAACTTAGCAGTATAAAGTAAGTCAATTTCAAAGACTCTCAGATTTTTCTTTTGATACTGATTCTACTTTGACTGCAAACAAAATACAGGGCTGATTGGAAGGAGAAGGCTAGGATTACTTTTTTTAAAAAGTGTTGTTTTCAACCCATGAAGTTGGAGAAAGCATCAAGCATCATACCTCACAGACCTGTCTCCCATGACTACCAAAATACTAACTACACAGTTTACACACTAAAGTAATGTTTATTGCATTTTAATGCCACGAACTTGGCATGCTGCTCAGCTAAGAAATGTATAACTGGATTCTTTTTTTTGTGAGCATCAATATTTTTAAGCGCTCACACCTAAAAACAGCCTGTAAAACAACAGGCCTAGAATAATGTCTTTGAAGGCTTAATCTGACCCTACAACCCTGTATTCTGAGATACCTTAACTCTGCAAACACGCAGAAAATTCTCAGAGCTGGCAAAGTAAGAATACCTTTCTTGTCACACAGCAAACCCAGAGTCCAATGACTTTTTATACCATATTGTAACAATGACTTTTTATACCATATCATAATCAGTTTAGCTCCATAACATTATAAGCCAATGATTTGCATTACCTAGGATGCAAACTCATTTAGCACAGAAACAAATGCAGACTTCTTTCCCTCAGATAAGTATACCTTTTGTGGTTTTCTAAGGGTATCCCAGAATTAATTACTTTGACATTACTGATGTAAGATTACAGTGACATTTTGGGACATCTTCCCTGAACAAAATATGCTGAGATATCACAGGAAAAAAACCAAACTTAATTTAAACTCCATTCTGTGTATACAGCCAGGCCAATGGGGACACCTCTGAGCTATCTCTATTCAGTTCGTAGTTCATCTCTGAGGCTCTCTTATCCTTTACTCTAGCAACACATATTTTGGCATAAGTCCAGACCAGCTTAATTCTTCAGACCTTGACACGAATTGCTAAATGGAGCATTTCTTGGGGTGACATGAAAGGAACCCAATCTTGTAGGCAAGGGTGTCTGTGATAGTTGAAACTATGATGGGAGTTTTAGAATTTGCTCCAATAGGCAGCTATTTAATTAAGGATGAGCTCTAACCATTGACAGCACCTGTATACAGAGAGCACTTGAGCAGATAAGCTTTTTAATGTATTAAAATGATATCCATAAAGATTTCCAGGGTAAAGAGGTAACTTTCCTACACACATAAAAGTAAGAATTAGACAATTATTAATACTTCCTGCTGTATTTCCAAAATGATGTTCATCAGAACTTACCTCTTGCACCAAAGAGCATTCCTGAAGTGCAGCCTCCTATGAAATAGTTTAGAGGATCGTCTGGTTTCTCCCTGATTTGGGCACTGAAGCAAGTGGTCAATCCAAAAACTGCTCCTACTGTAGCTGTGAGGAAAAAAGAAAATAAAGAGCAAGCAAGGAACTAAAGGATACAGTATAGGGAATATGTTTTCCAAAGGCCTGGTGCTGTAAGAACAGATACAAGAGTTAGGGCTTCAGCCTTCTAGGGAACAGAGGAAGCAAACTAAGAATTTATTTCTAGAAAGAATCAGTAGGTTACTGAAGAATGACACCTTTTCTAGTTAAGCGAAACAAACATGCAGATCTGTTAAATTCGGTATCCATATTGCTGCAAGCTTGTTGTATTCAAAAAGATGTCAGCAAGAAAATCAAAAATGGTTTTGTAAAATACGGCATTTCTGTATATGTAACCATTTTCCAGATGACAACACGGGGCGGAATGGGGAAATAAGTTACCTGATATCAAACACAAGTGAATGGCAAGCCTGGGGATAAAAGCCAGTAGACCGTCCTGAAGCAAGTCACCACGTCAGTTTCTTTCCTACCAACGTTATTTTAGTGGCCTATCCATACAACCACATAAAGACTTCATGCAAAAGACTCAGGTGTTGAGAGAATTAAGGCTTCCTTACCCATTGTGACAGTGCTTGTGGCTGCTACTTGCGCAGCTTTAAGAGCAGGGCTGGTTTCCTTCAACACAATGTGATAAATTGAACCAATCAGGCCTGTAAAAGAAAAAACAAAGATTAAAGAGCAGCAGGACACAACTTTTGAAGAAGGGCATCATGAATGTTAAGTCCTGTCATCACAAAACTGTAGTCCTTGGCTTACCTAACAGTTTTCATCAGAAACCTGTACTGCTGCTATTCCAAACAGTTTACTGAACAAGAGAAAGGGCAAATTCCTGGTTTGATTAAAAGCAATACCAAACTCCCATCGACTTTGATTAAGCCAAATCACTAAATGGACTGTCTATTATTTAAAATATTTCAGCATGCCAAAATGACCTGATATAGGTAGGCCAAGAGAGGTAGTAGCTGTGCTAGTCTGAAGTCAGTCAGAAGGTGGGCCATATATGCATCATTATCGACTAAGATTCTTTTTTTTTTTTTTTTATATGCAAGTGAGAGAACAAGAGAAACAAACATTAAACCCATAGGAACAAAGGGGTTACAAAAGCAGGCAGGCCTGGTGAATACACATGGCTATAGCACTGCTTCTTCCCCATTCATTTAGGGGCAGGTGCCCTATGACCTGCTAGCCTCTCCAAAGCTCCTGCAGGACCTTCTCTGGTGCAGGTTTTTGTACCCTTGACTTGCTGTCTGCTTCAACCACAGGCAACTTCATATATCAGAACAAAGGCCACTTACAGATTGGGGGGGGGGGAAGGGTAAGTGGGGACCAGCACTTTACTGACAGCCCTGTTATTAAAGTTTTGTGAAGAATGATGCACTGGGGGGTGGAAAGGAGCACAGGACTTGAATACAACATTAAATACTTGCCAACAAAACATTTTACAGAAAATTGGAAGTCAAATAACTGGTGGGTACAAGTGTTGCCCTCTTTAAGAAATGGAAAAATTGAGTCACAGAAGAAAAATAACTTATCTAACCTAGTGCCCATTTAAGATGGTATACGACAGCGTCTCCCACACCGTGGGTCACAACCCAAAAGTGGGTCAGGAGAATAAATGAAAAGGTCACAAACAAACTTTAAAAATGGATCCTAGTTTAAAGGAGAAAAATGTGGAAACCCGTGGGATTTCCCTCGAAGGCTGGCAGAGCTGCAGCCCGCGAGGGGCTACCAGGGCCCCGTGTCCCAGCAACACCCCCCACTGCCCCACGCACTGGGGTGGGGGCCCAGGGCCAGAGTGCAGGGCACTGGGTCAGGACTGGCCATCAATGCTTGCAAGTGGGTCCTGGTACAAAAGAGGATGAGAACCACTTGTGTACGAGACCTCCTCCTATTACCCCGAAAATACCGAATGAGTGCCCTTTTGCTGGGAGGACTGGAGAGGAAGATGGGAAGACAAGGCAGCCCTTGCGACACCCACCCACCCAAACCCCAACAGCTCTGGGCCTTGCACTTCAGCCGGATCACAGCTTCAAGAGCCAGGTATCCAAAACCCCCTCCCCGCCGCCGCGGTACTTCAGGGGCGGGGAGGGGGCATCCCAGGGTTACGCCACCCGGGGGGGCACCGGCTGCTTC